AATCGTTAAATAAATTTATTAAAACTACTCATATTTTACATTGTAAAGCTTTTCCTATCAACTTTGACTATAGACCTGATTCTATCAACGTGGTGTTTTCTTTCTTGCAACCCTCAAATTTGAGTTTCAGTACAAAAAATAGAAGGGCAACGAGAGTTGTAGATTTTTTTTGTCCAGACACGCTTTTATGTTATTAGTAATGTATAATGTACGTTGTATGTGAATATTTTTGTTAAAATATATTAAAAAATTTTAATTATGTAATTAAATTAAATATTATTTCATATTTATTATTTTTAAATTATTTGCATTCTCTCTGCAACTATAAATATCTAATTGACTCATTTTCTGTTTTCTTTAATTCGAGCTATCAAGTAATAAGGGTTATAAGATTTTATTTTCTCAATTTTTTTTGTCTTTCTTGTTTATAATTGCTTCAACAAATTTTTAGCAAATTATTTTGATTATGAATGAAGAGAAAAAATAAATATATTAATTTTTGAGCATTAAAAATGATATTATACCAATTGAGTTGTCGATGTGTATTAATATTGACATTTTGAAAAAAAGAATAATGTTGTTTTTATATAGATTGTTAAGCATAACATGACTATTCAAAAATTTTGTAAAAACAGAGAGATTTACATAATATGTTAGAGATTAATTTGTTATTTAAATACAGATAGATATAGTTGTAATTTATATATTTAAATATCAAAAGAAATATTAGCCTTTGTAGTTTTCTTTTCTTTTTTTAAATGCATAAACAATTTTTTTTTATTTTTTTGGGATGGGGAGGGAGGGAGAGAGAAGAAGGGGGTTTAAACCCTAGACATAAAGAAAGAAAATCCTTCATAAAATAAGTAATATAATTGGAATAAAGGCTCATTGATGCCTTTATAGTTTTCAAATTGCTTCAATCCATGTGCTTATGGGATGGAAACTTAACAGCACCATTCAAGAGCCACTTTCAAATAGTTTTGACGATTGTATTTGTGATCGATCATAAGTTTTTTTGGAGTACTTGTAACTTTTCTTGTACAATATATAATTTTACTATAAACAATTGTAACTTTCGAACAAACACCAAAATATAGACTTTTTGTGGTATTTGGTGTTCCTTNACAATATATAATTTTACTATAAACAATTGTAACTTTCGAACAAACACCAAAATATAGACTTTTTGTGGTATTTGGTGTTCCTTTTGCCACCAAATAATTTTGCCTTTTAAGATGGTCCATGGAAGAGACCTTTGATTAGGACCAAAGGTAAGCTTTTGTGGACCCTAATATATAGTACAATTACACGTCTTTTTAAGCTCAATAATTCAAGTTTATTTTTCCCTTCCCCCTCTCCCAAAAAAAAAAATAGTCTAAATTTGAATCCTTCTGGTAAATAATTAAGGGATGTGGGGAACATTTCTTAAATAATTTTGTTATTTGACCCTTGATGTGGATAACATTTTCCTAAATAATAGCTAGCAGCTCTATGATTTAGTACACTATCTAATATTATAATTTTCTTGAGATCAAGTTATAATTTTTTGAGATAAAAAGTGAAACTGAAAATAAATATGATCGATTCTAAAACATCATAATTGATCATAGAAGTTATAACTTCTAAATGTAAGTTATAAATTTTAAAGATTAACTTATATTTTTTAAATGTGAAATTATAACCATTAAATAAAAAATTTATAATATTAAATTGAGGAATAAAAATAAGAGAATCTTCGCCTCTGTTTGGTTTGTGTCTTAAAATATAGTATCTAAAAATTATTTTTGGAAAGATTTTTAGAAAACAAATTTTTGTGTCACAGAATTTGTTTGATTAAATGATTTCAAAAATAGTTCTACGTAATAGACAATAGTAAAATTTGTTTATACAATAACATAGAAAAACAATAAAAACAGAAATATAGCGGTGGTGGTATGGTGGTGGTGAAACGGTGGTGGAGGGTGTGGTGAACGTGATGGTGATGCTATGTTGAATCACAACTGAAGTTGACTTCACTTGACCTTGCCTGCTTCAACTTTACCCTAGACTCAATGCGATATAGTGTAGCGAGACTAGCAAGGGGTAGATTTAATTTATGAACGAACTACTATTATAAGTCGTACTTTTCTATTTTTGTATTCTTCCTCCACTCCCCTCCACGGGTGAATATAGTCTACTACACTAGCCAAGAAAGAGTCTAGTAGATTATATTATAGGTCACTTGGAAGGGCTCCATATAATTATATTTTGGGGCGTAACGTTGTTGTTGTTCCCTTGATTGACCGAGAAAAACAAGTTCAAGGGTCAACTTTTATTCATATCGATTTTGATTTTTTCGCATCATATTTTGACTTGCCTTTTCTTCGATTCGGAATTCCATTTCTCCATATGGAGAGGCATCCTCCTGTTATGAAAAGGTATCAAGACACTAGAGTAATTCTGACCATCTTTTAATTTTAGGTATAGTCTTCTTTTTTAGAATTCAGCATCTCTGAAATATTTTGTATTCATAATCCTTCCTATTTCTTCCGATTTTTTTTCATAAATAAGTTCATTCCTAGCTTGAATATTTTCATTCGCTATCATTCATGACCGGTATATGGATCTATCTATGTAGTGGTCAGGTTTCTAAAAGTTTCACCAGAAGCAACTAGTCGTTTCCCATGGTGGTGGTAATATTTTCTAATTTTTGAAAATATTGTTTCTAAAAAGATGCAAAACATTTCTAACTTATTTTTTAAATTTATGTAGTTTTTGTTCTTAGTTAAAAAAAAAAAAAAAAAAATTGGTCAAACAATTTTTCTCTCAAAAACTGCTTTTTGAAAACAGAAAATAATTTCTGAGATACAAATCAAAAAAGACTCTAGACTCTCGTCTTCTAATACATCAAGTTGAATAGGAGTCATTATTTAAAATTGTCAGCTCCAATCCATTGTCTCCCGATTCAAGTAGGGGCAAAAAAATAGTATTGTAATTTTAAAATTTTTGTTTTATTGGATATTTTTATAATTTTGTTATGTCTTTATATCTATACTACTATAAAATATCAAAAAAAAATTAAAAAAATTTAATTGACTAAAATACCCCTAATAAAACAACTAATTCTTATATTATCTTTTGTATAGTTAACAAAAATTTTAAATCTTGTAATTATTGTTGTAATAAAAATATTATGTATATTTATATTTATATCTATCTATATCTATATTACTTATAAAGAAGCTTCCATGAAAAAAAATTAATTTTTAATTTTAACCTTAGTTGATGCTACAAAGCTCAGTGATAAATTCTTACTTTAACTGATTTATTATTTGACCGTGTCTATTCCCATCAGTTTTAAAATGCAATAACAAATCTTCAATAAAGCAACTGAAAAGACATTACTCTTAAATTTTATCTTGAAAATTCCGTTGTCAGTTAATGAACATGATATTTATGGACCTCTTACTTGTTTTGCTTGTGGCATACTTTGGAGAATTCAGAAAGATAGAATGTTTTTTTGTTGTGTACGGAAGAGTCTGTGGGACAGTGTTCATTTATTTCTTAGTCCTCTTAGGGTGTATTTGGGTAGTGGATTAAGGTGAGTTAACCTCCATAAAGATAAGGTAATAAGGTAATGGGTCTCACAAAATCTTTGTTTGAGAAACAAAAAATAGTCAGGATATAAATCCCGGGTCTATCCTTGACTCAGATGCTAGGCCATGGAAAGAGATTGTCATGCCCATACTTAACGGGCGATTTGGTAAGAGTAAGTTTAGAAAAAATAATTTAAAAGATTGTTAAATTTTATATTCGAATTAAAAATTTAATAATGAGATTTCAAATTCGGCCCCTAATTGGTCTGAATATTAAATTCATAATATGAGTTTCTTTAAACCTAAGAGAGTGAGTTTGGAAAGATGGGTTAAGAGATTATTGATGTAAAAGACAATTATATCTCATAATATGAGTATGAATTAAATTGATTAAGGGTAAAATAGTTATTTATTGGACAAATAATTATTAATAATTATGAAATATTTATAGGTCATACATGTGTTTATATTACATACCAATATACGTATGAACTGAATTCAATATTAGGGGTGTAACTCGGGCGGGTTAGACAATCAACCTTAAGTATATAATCTTCAACTCTAACCCTATCTTGGGTTGATGATTTCAGGTTATTTTACAGGTTCAATGAGGATAGAGCCTAAAATAGACTTGTTGTTCTAAACTTAATACATATATTACATAATATTCACATAAATTAACAACCACTAACTTTAACCAAGTTTTTAACGAGAAAAGCTAAGAGAATGAGAGAGGAAAAGAGAACGAGAGAACAAAAATGAAAAATTAGTGCTAATGTTTTATATATATATAATTTTTTTTTTTAATTTGTCGGGTTCGGGTTGAATTCAGGTTCACGAGGCTTTAACCCGAGCCCAACCCAAATTAAATTCGGGTTGAGACTTTTTGATCCAAATCCAACCCAAATATTAAAAACATTTGCTCAAACCCTAATTTTTTCGGGTAGGGATCGAATTGAAATCGGGTTGCCCAACCCAAGATGCACCCCTATTCAATATCGAATTCCTTCTTTATAAAAAAGAGTTTGAGTTTAGAAAGATTTGAACAAGTCAATCCAAACCCCTCTTAAAAAATTCATCTAAACAAACCTTTATACACACAAAAATTGTGGCCCTGTATTCATGGGATACGTGGGTCTCATAACTGATAAGATAAACTACAAATGATTTGGTGGACATTTTTAATACACATAATTATATCTCAACAGCTACTCAATAATTTAGTTTGACCATAAACATAAGATTAAAATGAGTATATAGATAAATATTTATTTATTCTTAAGAGTATCGATAACTTTAATTTTTTTAAAATTCAAATTTAAATTTTGATAGAAATATCTTAAAAATTTTATTCAAAAAATCTAAATGTTGTTTGGGGCCATACCTCAACCCTATAAATGAAGATATCAGTGAAATACATTATATGCGTCACATGGCTGCTAATCAAAAGGTGACCGTGCTGGAGCATTGCAGCGTCGCCCCGCCGCCGGGCACGGTGGTGGAAAGGTCACTGCCGCTCACTTTCTTCGACATAATTTGGCTATCTTTCTCCCACATCCAACGCCTAATATTCTACGAATTCCCTTGTTCCAAAACCCATTTCATGGAAACCCTCATTCCTAACCTCAAAGACTCTCTCTCCCTCGCTCTCAAACACTTCTTCCCACTTGCCGGTAACTTGGTGTTTTCTTCAAGTTCTAGCAAGCCTCAAATTCGATACGAGGAGGGCGACTCCGTTTCACTAACCTTTTCTGAGTCCGAGTCGTTCTATGATTTCATGGATCTTGTAGGGAATCATCCAAGAAAGGCCATCGATTTTCACCCTTTTGTTCCTCAATTTCCACTAGTTGCTAAATCATCAGATTCTATAAGAGTTCCAGTGCTCTCTCTCCAAGTGACATTATTTCCAAACAAGGGCCTGTGTTTCGGATTGACCAATCACCATGCTGTTGGTGATGCAAACTCCATTTTCAATTTCATGAAGGCATGGGCTTTGATTACTAGGTGTGGTGGAGATGGCCCATATCTGGTAGGTGGGTCCCAACCTATATTTGATAGGACTTTGATCAAAGACCCGAAAGGGTTAGACAACATTTTTCTGAGTCGACAGGGAACAACCACACTAGAGCAACAACTTCCCACCAACAGTGATAAGTTTAGAGCTACCTTTATAATGAGCAGGACCAATATCCAGGGATTGAAGAGCTTGGTCATGGCCAAAAGACCAGGATTGGTTCATGTATCAACTTTTACAGTAATATGTGCTTATATATGGACTTGTATGGTGAAATCAAAAGCTGCAATTGGGGAGGAGGGTGATGAAGATGAACCCTATCACTTCATATGTGCTGGAGACACTCGGGCCCGTTTGAATCCACCTATTCCAGCAACTTACTTTGGTAATATTGGAATTGATTGGTTAGATTTTTTTTTTATTTTGTTATTAAGTATTTAGACTTGAGCCAATTATTTTCTAGAATTGATCCTAAAACCTCTGAATTACCAAAGTCCGATCCAACCACTGCATCACACTTAAAAGGTTTAAACTCACCCTCATAGTGAAACATAACTCGTATCCAAATAATTAAATTTATTTTCTGGCAGGTAACTGCGTAGTGGCAGCATGCATTGCAACTGTAAACTGTAAGAAACTAGTGGGAGACGAAGGTTTCATATTTGCAGCGGAGGCGATCGGAGAGGACATTCGTGAGAGGTTGTACAATGAAGAGGGAGTGTTGAAAGATGCAGAAAATTGGCTGTCTGGCGGGAAAGAAATTAACTGGGAGAGAACTGTTGGGGTAGCTGGGTCTCCCAAGTTCAACTACTATGATATTGATTTTGGGTGGGGAAAGCCCAAGAAGTTCGAATTTGTGTCCATAGATATTACAGGAGCAATGTCCTTAAATGGTTGCAGGGATTTAGATGGAGGCATTGAAGTTGGTTTGTCCTTGCCTAAAGCTCAAATGGATGCTTTCGCTACTATTTTTGCTGGAGGTCTCTAAATTTTATAAGCATTAAGGATGGTTGTTACAACACAAATAACATATAGAAGGTACTACTAGTTCTCTGGTCATCTGAATTGAGGGCTGTGGTAGAAGGACTCCTGTTATATTTGATTGTGCAATGTACTTGCTTTTGTGATTCCCTTTTATTTTTTGGTAATTTTTTTTTTTGCAACACGTTGTTTGATTTGTATTTATTTCTATTTGTATTGGTATTGAATAATTTATAATATAAAATAAAATAAATCTTTAAAAAATTATTTGATGGTCTTAAATAAATTCATTCAACAATTATTAATATCACTCTCATAATCATTTGCAGNAAAATAAAACAAATTTTAAAAAAATTATTTGATGATCTTAAATAAATTCATTCAACAATTATTAATATCACTCTCATAATCATTAGGTACGGACTTACAGTAATTTACTATAAACCACAATAATTTGTGACAAATGCCTGCGGCTAAGACTTTGGTACCGAATTGCTCTTTGTTGGTACGGTACCGATCAAATATGTGGCTAGGAATTGTTCATGGAGATGGCAATAGACAATAAGTTTCAGTCAAATAGAATGCCTACAATCCGCAAATGAAGTACTCTCAGGATTTTCTTCCCAATTTTATAAAATCCAAAAACTTAATATTGAGTTGGATTTTAGCCCAATTAAATTTATAGTCAAGGTTAATTTAAAAATTGGTACAAAAATTTAAATTTATTTGAGTTAAATTACATTAAAAAAATTATTTGACCCTAAGTACATTTTTTTTAAAAAAAACTAAAAGGGTATTTATTACTTCATTACTCTCTCTGTTTTTTCTCTCTCTATTACTCTTTTACTCCATTTTCTCTATTTTCTCTATTTTTTTTTAAATATATAAAAATTTGATTTAAGTTTTTCATCTTTCTCTCACTCTTTGTCCCCTTATATCCTTATTCTCACATGTTTTCTCTCTCTATATATCAACATTACAATAATACAATTATATTAATCAGTTATATTAGTAAGTTACAATTACCCTATAATACACAAAAACAGTTACTCATGTGTTCTAATAAATCAAACAATTATACTAAATAATTATACAAAATTACAACGTTAACTTAATTTGTCATTCAATTATTTATATAAATCAAAGAGTTACATCATTTAGTATCACGTCATGGTTATACTAATTATATACATCAAATTAGGTTTATCATTACACAAAAGACTTTACTATTATATTATATTTGATATATATAATTGGTGTAACAATGTCGTAATACTAAATAGTGCAATTATTTAATTTATATAAATAATTAAATGACAAATTGAATTGATGTTATAAATTTATGTAATTGTTTGGTATAACTGTTTGGTTTATTAAACCACATGAGTAACTATTTGGTATATTATATATAAGACAATTGTAACTGATTGATATAACTGATTAGTATAATTGTGTTGTTCTAATGTTGATATAAATAAAGATAGAGAGAGAAACAGTTATAAAAAATAGGGGAGAGAAAAAAAATAGGGGAGAGAGATGAAAAATAAATCAAATCTGTACATATTTAAAAAGAAAATAAATTATCAATGATAGATACAGAGAGAAAATTGGGAAGAGATGTGGAAAGTAATGGGGAGAGAGAGGGAAAGATGAAGAGAAAATAGGGGGAAAGATAGTGAGAGAGTCTAATGAAATCTTTACATATTTGATTAGATATATAGCTGTCCAACAATAATGCATTATTTAAGGGAGAGTATTTAGATAAAATAGTTTTGATTTCATTTGAATTTTGTATTTAAACACAATATGTTTTATTAAAATTAAACTTAATAAATTAAACAACTTATCTATACACTTTTCTTCAAATAAGTCTAAAAAATTATATTAACAACCAAAATTCCCTATATTCAAATGTATTGAGCCCCAAGAAAAGGCTAAACTAACTAATTGGAAGGAGTGTTGTCCTATTTTTATTCTGAAAATTGGGCCTGGGTAATTTTAGATGAACTTATAGTGATTTGAGTCCATCAAAAAAATTTATTTGGGGTAAGCCCGTTTTAAATCTTATTAGTAAATAATTAAGTCTATTTTTTTTAAATTTCAAAAATACCCTTAATATTGTTAATTTGTTCAATTATGAAAAGTTGAAGACATTATCTATAAGGAGCTATATATGAAGACCAATGATTGAATATAAGAATATTTGATTTACGATGGTAATCACCAATTACAAGTCTTTCATAATACGCTAAATTTATATTCTTAGTCATTATTTTGTTTGTTATACATTTAAATAAATGATTTTCAAGATTTGAGGCTAATTTGAAAGGAATGAAAGTTGAAGTTAGAGTATGAATTCGGGATTTTGAAAAAGTAATAAGGATTGTACACGTCAAGTACTTGATGTTAGTATAGTAATATCAGTTTAATAACATCAATTTTAAAACGTAATTTATTAACACATATCACTATTTTTTTTCATGTTATTATTTTTTATTGAATATGTTATTACTTTTTCAATGTTACTTTTTTGAATGTTGAAGAATTGGAAGCTTCTTTCTCTAGTTATGGGTTTGAATGCTACTATTTTTATTTTTATTTTTGTTCAATATTTCATGTTACTTTTTTTTTTGTTGAACATGTTATTTTTTTGTTAAGTATATTCCTACTTTTGTTGAGTATGTTACTATTTTTGTTAAACATGTTACTATTGTTATTTTTTAAAAATATTAATATTAAATATTATTATTTTTTTATGTTTAAATATTACTCTCTCTCTCTCATTATATATATATGAGAGGAAGGTATATTTCTAAAAATAGATATGAGAGTAAAAATTTTTTTAATGTTAGTCAAATTTTTAAAATTTAAGAATTTTTAATTTTTAATTTTATTTTATTTTTATAAAGAAGAGATAGTTTGATAAAATTAATAAAAAATTAATTTTATAACAAATAAATTTCTTTGTCAAAGTTAAGTTTAAATAAATTCATATAGATGACGCACCTCCAAATTTCGCTATTTTAAAAACTGTCTTCCATCCCATCCCATGTGCTGCTGATGTGGGATTGTCTTTAATAGTGATATTTGCAACTCTGTTTTGATTTCACTTGCTGCTAGACTGCCGATTGTGGGATTGCAATACAGGTGTTAAAATTTGATACAAAATGACGAATCAATATAAATTTAGTAGGTTTGAATGATAAATGAGTTGATACGTCAAACATGTTTAATAAATAAATCGTGTTCGAATGAGATATGTCAAATAATTTATCACACATTTACCGTTTAAATAAAATTAATATAATAATAAATTAATAATTATTTTAAAAAATTAACAAGAAAAAAAAAGAAATAAAGAAATCAATAAAAAAAAGAAGTAAAATAGTAGTTTAAAGACAAAGAAAAGGAGATGAGGACCATTTTAAAGACAAAGACAAATTAATGTCTTTTATTTTTGTCCCACATTAAAAAATGAGGGGAGATGCGGAGGGCTGAGTTCCCTACAAAAGACAATGACTACTTGTTTTTTTTTTTAAGCCTTAAATTCTTATTTTTATGAGATTCGACTAAAAATTCTTTTTTTTTTTAAGTAAGTGCAATTTCCAGTAAAAAAGAATAAAGTATTAAAATTTGTTGATAAAATTTTTTAAAAATTAAACTCGTGTTATCTGTTTATTAAACGGGTCCTGTTCGTGTTGAGATTTTTTACTTATTTATTAAACTTGTATATGAGTTTATATATTTTTCATCCGTGACCTATTTAACATAATACGTAATCGTTTAACTAGACACGTAACCGTTTAACCCGACGCAATTGACATTTCTAAACTGTAATATACATACAATAATTAATAAATGAGAAGCGAACTGCAATATAAAATATGTAAAAGAGATTAGGTGGACAAATTATCACGACACATGAAATGAAATAAGGTGATTTGTTTTACCCCGAAATTGGGTGAACTTGGGAAGGGTCACGTTGCTTTTACTTTGATGACCAAGTACAAGTGAGTACTGGTGTGTTTAATGGTTAGCATCATAAGGGAAAGACAAGTGAGTGGCTAGGTGGCATTATATGGTGGAGGCAAGTGCCTTACATGCCAGAGTTGTTATATGATATGTGTTGTGTGAGTAATAAACGGACAAAAAAAATAGGAAAATAAAAAGGAGTGCAGCCAAAAGTCAAGGAAAGAGTAAGAAGGGTAGTTTGGCATGGGACGAGCGACGGGAAAAAAATAAAAGAAAGAAAGAAAGAAAAATCGTGAGTTCTTTATTGCAAATCAAAATGCAAAATAGTTCCCTAAATGTAAGTATTTTTATTTTTGCTTGTCTTTCAAGAATATACGGTAAAATTAGGACTTGCAAACCAAGGTTTGATCCAAATAGTAAGAAATTTTGGTTATGCTTTTATTTGAGGATTTTTTTTTTTTTTTT